ATCAGTCACTATCCTCCCTTGTGTTTATCCATATGTTGTAGTTATCCTAATCATTATAGGATTAGGATAATCATCCCCTTTATTGTTGTAATCCTTATCTCCTAAGGAATATGCTTATTCTCTTGTATGTATATATATGTATGTGCACGTGATGAATAAGATAATGAGAGTTACAACCTTCTTCTTTATTCTTTAACAGATCATGTATAAATTGAGATTATCCAAAGCCAAAAACAATTCTACATTTCCTTTGATTTGTTTTCTTTCAGTAAAACTGTAAAGGCAGATAGATTCAAAAAAAAAAAAACCATCAATCACCTAAAAGCTCATCGCCTTAGAGAGAATCAATTCCTCAAAGGAAAGAAAGAAAAAGAAGCTAAGTTCATTTGAGAAGTTACTCTATGTTCTTGTCCCTTTCACAAAGTTACTCTCTCTTCTTGTCCCTTTCACTGACTCACTGATACTTACATGCATGACATAACTAAAAGGCTAAAAGCATTGAGAACCCAACCACTTCCTAAATATGGAACAAGATAAACCAAGAATATCACATGAGCAAAGATTCTAACAATCTTTAACTCAAACTTTTCAACTCTTAGCTTTATTACAATAAATAATGCCTAATGGTAAGTTAAGCAAACATTTAGATACTGATATATAATTGTTACCACTTCTTGATGTACCCACATAGGTCATAATTACTTTCTTTAATCAGAATGTCTAATCTCCAGGTTCTTGATCAGAATCTAGCACCTAATTCAATTCCTCTCAATTCCAATTTCATCTTTTCATTCTCAAGTTTCATAATTTCATTTTCCATCCTCATTCTTTGGAGCTTTTGGTCTCTTTTCTGACTAAACCTCTCCCACTTGATTCTTTGTCTCTCGAGCTCCATCAACTCAGCTTGAATCTGGAGCTTGCGTTCTTCCAACTCCAAATACTTAGACTCAATACAATGCTTCTGTAAGCTAGCAGCTTGCCCATTCTCTAAAGACATCGGTTGATTCACATCAGCCTGAGAAAGAGGCAAGTGTGGTGCATAGCACTTACCTTCATGGCTCTGACTTTGTCTTAATCTCTTCAATGAACCACCTAAGGAGGCTCCACGATGAAGTTCATCACAGTCATCTCCATCATCATGGAATCTGAGCGTCAAGTGAAGGGAACGTTGTAACGCAGGGTCATGAGGCAAATGCAATCTGTTTCCATTACGGTACGAGCACATCTCTTCATAGAAAAGATTTTTTGAGCGCATGATCTTCCTAACTTCGTTTTTCTCTTTCTCATCCAAGTAATCAATCTTATCCAAGAGCGCAGGATTCTCAACGACATCACAAGAAGTTCCTCTACCAAGCATCTCATTAAGCTTCTTGTAACGTCTATTAAGATCATTGAACTTATCCTCACATTGCTGCGGCGAGGCATGGTAACCCCTTTCTTCCATGACCTTAGAAACTGCTCTCCACTTACCTTTCCTTGCATGTTTATTATCGTCTTCGTCGATGTAAGAAAGAGCAGTTATCATCAGCTTCACCATCTTATCCATCCATTTCACACGTCCCCAAGGAGAGTTTTTCTTGGATTTGTTGTGACCATCACCATCATCTTCTTGGCTCGTCCATGTTTGGCCATTGTTGTGGTGAGCACTAGGAATCATCATAGTAAAAGGAAGGCTCAAGCCCTGGTGTTGACTAAGATTCATAACATTTGGACCAAGATCTCTCATGTAAGAGCCTTGAAAATCTTGATTAGGTTTCTCAAAATCAAGATCAAAAGAGTAATCTGAGAAACTCTCCTATATATTAAGCCTAAACCATATACGAACTTGGAAGAAAGACTCTATGAATATCAGATCAAACGAATAGTAGTAAACCCAATAGCAAAAGAGATGATTCTGATTGTTAAAGATAAAAGATTGTCAAGCACAAGAAACTGGTAACAAAAACTCATCTTTAGAGAAATAGCATTCCAAGCCAAGAATCTAGGGTTTTGAGATGAACAAGTGATACAATGCGTGTGGCCAACACAAATCTTTTGAGGATCTAGAAAGATAGAGTTTTGAATGTTTTGGGCGTTATTGTTTTGGTTTTAGACTTTATATTTGTGACAAGTGACAAATGTTATTCATATCCAATGTATCAGAAGATATCTGGGACCCATCTATCAAATTGCTTTTGTTTATTTTCAAACCTTTTTAATTTATTTCCAAAACGTGTTAATATATGTAGTACAAATTTGAAAGGTGTAGATTTCTTTAATCAAATTAAATTTTTGGTTACAAAAAAAAAGAACTAAATTTTAACTGTAAATATTATAAAGTTGGGGAAATAAATAAAATTTCATGATGTCAAAAAAAAATATTCATATTTCAATAAAAATTGTCAAATGTATTCTATACTAGATAAATTTCTTTCCAGATTCAAGTTTTATTTTCTTAATTTATATTTACTAAATTTGAGTATACATATTTGACCTCTTCTCTAATTGTATTTTTCATATAAATGTTACCAAATGTCTTTCCAAATTCAATCTTTCTTTTTTTAATTTATTTTTACTAATTTAGAGTATGAGTACAAATTTGACTTTTTCTCTTGTATTTTCATATAAATGTTATACAAAAGTGCTATTTAATTCCCAATCTGTTGAGTATTATTGACTAAGGTTTTATTTTAATATATGGGCTTAAATTGGGCCTTACCCCTTAAATACTTTTTAAAAAAAAGTTATTGAAATAGCGGCCGGAGTTTATTTACCGGTCACGATTCGTTCAATAATCGGGACCCTCGGCGAAGGTTTATTAGTTCAGCTGTAACACAATGTCCGGCGAGGAAGATGCTACCGTGAGGGAGCCACTAGATCTGATTCGTCTGAGCCTAGACGAGAGAATCTATGTCAAGCTCCGCTCTGACCGCGAACTTCGCGGCAAGCTTCACGTACGTTTTCTCTTTCCCCTGAAAGTCTAGGGTTTTCTTTTCGAAAGTTTCGATTTTTAGTAAACGTTGTCTCGATTTATGGAGATTAGCTGTAAGTGGGGAGTCTGGGTTGTAATGTTTTGATGGATAGCATCTCAGTTTCCGACAAAGTTTTTAAATTTTGACAGATTAGGACACTCTTTTTGAAGTTAACTTGGGTTTGGTTTGGTTTTGTTTTGTTTCTCTGGGCAGGCGTTTGATCAGCATTTGAATATGATTCTGGGTGATGTTGAAGAAGTTATCACAACTGTAGAGATTGATGAGGAGACATACGAAGAGATTATCCGGGTACGTACTTCTTCTTCTTTTAACTCGGTAGGTTTTATGCTTAATTAACAAAGAAAAGGTTTATGCTTAATTGTATGATAATTGAAGTATTTTAGTGATCAGGTTTAAGAGTGTCTTTTAGATGTTACGTTCATGAGTCTGTATAATAAATTTTACTCAACTGACCTAACTGATACGCTTAGCAGAAATGAAGAATACTGATTAGCTCTGAATGAAAAGCTATGAAGTCTCTTTAAGCTCTTCTTAGGCACATTAGTTTTGGTTGCTGTATATGATTCAGTTTGTTACTATCTCTGGTTGCAGACGACAAAGCGCACGGTTCAGTTTCTGTTTGTGAGAGGTGATGGAGTGATATTGGTGTCTCCACCACTGAGGACAACCTGAGTTCAACCTCAACTCTGAAGCCTACGTTAATGAACTGTTTAAACAAAATATTGTCACTTGTCTAAAACTCAAAAAGCTTAAAGAAGCTATGTTTGCTTTCGTTTGGTTTAGCTACATTTCATCATGTTACCATTCTCAATTACAACCCAAACCTTCTGCGTTTTACAAGTAAAGATGAGTTCTGAAGCAGCGCAACAAACATACCAAACAAACAAAGAATTATTTCTTTTAAGTGCAAAAGAATGCAACTCGAAAAGAAAAAGAAAAAAAGCAAAGATGGTGGTTTATCTTCGTCTGGGTCGGGCATGAACCGGAGAACCTGATGACTGTGAGCCTCTGTAGTTTCTGCTTGGAGAATCCATCGAGACTTTGTAACCAGTTTTGGGTAATGGAGGCGTTGGCTCTACTGGAACTGACTCTGCAAAGCATGCTGTGTTCAGACGAGTTCTCTCCATTTCTGTTTGTAGCAATTCGCTTGAATACTGCTTCGTCAGAGCCTGTTCACAAAAAAAAACAAGTTATAAGATTTAAGTTTGATTAAAATTTTGTTGGAAAGAGTTTTAAGGAATAAAGGTGTTTACGAGGAGGTCATCTGCTGAAACAGATGATCCTTGTCTGTCATCTGAAACTGTGTCTTCGCTGCCACGAGTTGGTCTACGGTTATGTCCTGGAGTGGTCTCAACTGCTTCACTGATGCTCTCTATAGCAATCTCCAGCACGGTTCCTTGTAGAGTTTTAAGAGACGCGGTTGCATCGCTTGTAAAATATAGGTTCAGTACCGTCTCAAAGTATTCAAGCTGCAGCAGTTGTTGTCCAAAAATCAGAATTAACAATCACAATTCTACAAAGCTTTTCAGTTTAAGGAGTTCTTTTATGGTGAAAAGAACAAGAAGTTACCTCAAACATCAGTTGGCAGAAACCATTTGCATCAATTGAACTCAGGTAATCTGCTCTGTTTTCTTCCACAAGACTGAGAAAAGTGTCGACTAGACCTTCGATCAGAACGCCAAGAATTTTTTCCAGCAGTGGTTTTGCACCCGCAAAGACCTTCAGTTTACAAAATTATTAGAGTTCACACTACAAACACTGCTATGTCAATGTCACTCAAGAGGTAACACATTAAAATATTCAAAGGTTTAGAGAGCCACAAATCGTCCGTAAAAACATTTTTTGAGTATAAAAAGTAATACCTCTGCATGGACAGCTACAAGAGTGTGCAATAGCTCAACAGCCGCATCTCGTATACCCTGAACGAAAGGAGCACACGTTTAAGTAATTGTTTTCTTTATAAAAATCAAGAGGTGATTAAGGTTTCTTACTTTCACTTGAGGCGCTGATCCCCATTGAATACCAGAGTCCAGCAAATAATTGGTGGCAGCTGTTCTTATCAAATTTGCCTGAATACATGTGAAATTCTCGGAAGTTTTAGGTTCCATTTCTAACAAGTTGCGAAAGCATTCTTAGATAAAAACAATACCTTAGCAAAAGTGTAATGCTCGAGAACCTTCTCTCCGAGACCAGAGAAAGACATAACGAGATCTTGAAGATCGCTGATGTCTTCATCATTGTCCCTGAAAAAAATGAAAAAAAATGAAGCCTTACTGTAGTGAACGTTCTCACCATACATCAATTCACCTAGGAGTGGCAACTTTCTTATTAAAACCAGTTAAATTGTTTAACCATAAACGAGTATGCACAACTTGTCTCCCACTTAAAGAAGAAGTAGATAACTATTGACGTTTAGAAAAGCACTAAAGACGTCAAGTAAGCAAGGACCAACCTAGACTGCAACCAGGTGTATTTGAACTTGTTGTAAAGCTCTGAAGCAAGTTCATCTTTGCAATAACCTATATTACTTAGGACCATCAACAACCTCCTGTGAGGATCGACAACACTTCCGTAGGTGGTGGCTGATGATACTTCCTGTTGATCATCAGAATATCCGTTTTTCCAGTCCTCTCGTGTTGAAGTGCTTTGGGAAAGATCAGCAGCAATCTGCTCCAGGTGAGCTGATACATGAAGAAAAAAAGTTAGCACATCAGCTTAATAACTGTACAATGTGTGCATCTTCTTGCATCCATGCGTCTATCCATAAGGGTATTTGGCCATTTGCACGTGGAGATTATCAAGGATTTATGATAAAAAAGTCGTACCAGCAAAATCCAGAAAGCAGTTCAAAAAAGCCATTCTAACAGATATCAGGATTTCCTCAATTTGGGCAAACATATCTTCTGATTTGGCAGCTTCACCTTTCACAGACAAAATCATCCTGAAAAAAATGCACACAAATCAAATCTATCAGGCACATCTACTATCATATCACATCACACACAAGTCATTGGTAACTATGGACAAGCTACAGGCAGCCTCTAGCCTAGACCAACAACTAGTGGTTGTTGTAGACTTGTAGTTCTGTTTTATCTAATGTATATAGGGATAAAGACTAAAAACCCTAAGGTATTCTACTGGAAATATAGATGTCTGGAACAACTAACACAATAAAATCGCAAAGACTGGGTGTATACATATCAACTTTCATGAAAATAAATAAACAGCAATAGTGCCCTCTCTATTTGTAATACACCATACAATGCAACTGTTTTAAATACGTTTAACAAAATGCACTTGAACTTACATATTGATTTGTTCCATCCCAGAGACAATAACCGAACGGAATGCAAGAGGCAAGTATGAGATGGCATATGGAGATCTATTCCTTTCAAGAATAGAAACGGGGATCCACGTCTCCTCTTTTGATATTCCTTCCGTGGATGCCCTCATCCAAGAGCAAAGCCTTTGGATATAAATCTTAGTGATTTCCGCCTGGACTTTTCTTAGTGCGACAACTGCCATAAGTACCAAAAGGCAGCATCTCAGTATACTTTAATTTAAACATCAAACTCAAGCTTCAGAAGAATTTCAAATACCAGCACTGTGGGGCGCTGAATCTTTGGCTTCAAAAGATTGACATGCTTTTGATACTTCGTTAATGGCATCACTCATAAATGGGCGGAGAATGCATGATTCATCAAAATCACAAAATGTGCTGTGAACCTACACCAGACGTAATCATGGAAACAGAATATTAAGAACCAAGTTATGGTACATATACCGCGGGTTTCCCGTTCCAATATGAAGAGAAGCTTCACCGGAAAGATCAATGAATAGAAAAATAAAATAGAAAACACCACCTTTGCTTCATAGACAGATATAGTCTTGCGTATCATGGCAGCAACTTCTTCCAAAGAATGAGTTGAATACCTTGCCTCTGTGACTTTCTCCTCGGCCTTATTCGCTGAATTATCGGTAACTTGGGAGGACTGGACATATAAGAATTTATATTCAAAATTTGAATAACTATCTCCAATTCAAGAAAGAAATATGTAGGTATCACATTCAGCATATGGGATAATAACTACAGAATTAATCTACTCTTGGGGCAGCATAGGTATGTACGCAGAAAGGACAGATGTTACCTTGGCAAATTTTCCACTGAAAACTGATATAGCTGTTTTCCAAAACAAAGGAATATGATGCACAAGCACAGCAGTCAACCTTTTGATGTATCTCCCCTTCAATGCATCGATCTCTTCGCTGGGAAACTCCAACGATTGTGGGTCAACTTGAACTTCATTATTTTCATTAGAAGAGGCAGCATCTGACTAAACCATTTAAAAACGCATGTTAACACCTATAGAAATCTCAAATAGTCTTCTAATGATATATAACTATTCTCAATGTTGGACTCACATATGGAACGACATTTTGCTGAATCTGTTGCCACTTCGCATCCGAGATAGCTCTCTCATGAGTCTCATTCCGCAAAATTTCCACCCTTGCTTCATGATCATACGTGCACTTCTCAAGCAAGCCGTGTATTCTATGATTCTGGTAAATTAAAGATCCCAGCAAAGAAACGTTATGGACGTAATACAATGTAACGAAAAGTGTGGGAGCCACATACACATACAAGTTAAATATGTGTGTGTTTCCCAATTCTATAGAGGTACTATGCTAATAGTGAAGAGAGCAATCATAAAGGAAACAAATAAATGATTTTTACAAGCTAAGCGCCACGCCGATACTCAAAGTAGATCTATTAGGAAACTTGATACTACGCAAAACATGGTAAGCTGAAGTAAAAGAAGTAATCTTCGAATATACCAACCTCAACATTCAGATAATGCCACACAGGATCCGATTCGGGTTCCAGCTCTAGCAAAAGCCTCACAGTGTTTTCCAGCTAAAAATGAAGCAAAATATAGTTAATTGAATCTGTCAAGGCTGGTTTCTCCAAGTTACCAATAGGAAGTATGCAGAAACCAAGTAAATGGGTCTATAACTAAGGGAAAAAATAGTCATTTTGATGCACAAAGCTAGAAGAAAATGGAAATCTTTTAATGGAAGTTAAAATTGATGGCAGCAAATAAGATGAACACGAGACTGAAATATTGACTGGATAGCAGTATTATGCATTTGGTGAATATGGGAATGAAGATTTTTTTTCAGTTCAATTACTAATTGGCACTAGAATTAAATGAATAATAACTGACATACACTTGTGAAGTCTATCTTTGGATCTTCCATAGACTTGTAAAGAGTGCCTTTAAATTCCAGCATAATTTTCTCAACCTCCTCGAGTACACGCTTGAGTATATTTACCTGAAAACATCTATGTTGTCAGCGCTTTGTTATGAGATTAAAAAAAATCGTAGTAAAGAAAAAAGATTCAGTGCTTATAGGAATATGAAAAGCATCTGCCTCAAGAGAGTGTAATGGAAATTTTAGGCATACGTGAGAAGGTAGAGCAATAGATTTCGCTTTCTTGTATTCTCGAACAGCCAAATCATATTCACCCTTGCTAATACTGTTACGAATGATACTGGGTAAGTTGAAGAGTGTCCGGAACCTCTGAAGCATTCCTTGTACAGACCTGATTTTCTCAGCTTGAGCCTAAAAATGGTTGTGAAAAAGGCTTTAAAACGATATGAAAGAGAGTGGCAGCAAAAATCCAGAATCAGACCACACCAACCTGTCTCTCAAAAAGAGGTTCAAATGCAAGATTGGCCCTTGATGTCACACTTTTCATACAATTGAACAGATGAGTAGTTCCTGACCCTTCTGGATCTGATTCAATCCGCTTCAGTTTTGCCTCAATATCTATTAAGAAAATCAATAGTCTAGACATCAGCATGATAGAAGAAGAAACTCATCCAATTAGTGCAGTAATACATACATACCATCAATTGTTGTTTTACATGAGACGAAGCAGTCAAAATTGTCTTTCACCAATTGTTTCTTTTGCAAATTTCGACCCTTTAAGTCACTTTTCAGGCCAAGGGCACCAGCCTCCAAATCTGCTGCACTTGTGTGCTGGTGGATGCGAGAAAGAAACAGCTTCGGATCGAAATTATCAGAGAAGTAAACCAATTTTTCTGCAAATAAAACAAAGAGGTTAAATAGCATTTAGAAAACTGGAAATAGTCCAGCAATTATTCATCATATAATCAAATTTACTTGTAACAGCAATTATTCAGCTCGAGTTGTAGTAATTGAGAAGAAAGACATACCCCGAAGTGTGTTATCCACTTTCTCAGATTTTGATGGGCTGCCTGACCTCTCAGTTATTAATCTCAGTGTCTTGTTGTCTATGATCCTATATAATACAAAAAAAAATAAGCCTCAGATAATTCCTCCCAAATCTATGTCAGAGATTAAAGACTACTGATTTCCAAGGTAAGCAAAACAAATGAGAGAACAATTACCCTAATTTCAGTGGATCAATGCATTCCATCCCTCGAGGAAGTGACTGCAAACTAGTCAGAACCACTTTCTTGCCAGGTGCAGGTGACTTATCCTCCAGTTTCTGAACCACGGGTGCCGTTCTTGATTCCCGCATATCACGAACCCTACGTGCAAGCTGCCAGAAAAAAACGTAATCCGAATTAAAGCAAAATGCACATCTTCCCAATTAAATTTCCACATGACATCATGATTCTAACTTCGAGCATCACTAATGACCTTGAAGGTTAGGCTGCTAACTTTCAAGCTCTCTAACATCAAATCCACTCAAGAAACTAAGGATAAACATTCACATAATCTTTAATAACCGTTACCAACTAGCAGAGTCCCCCGTCTGAGGTTTTCTAAATGAGGCCTCCTAAAACATGATCTCATATTCTTCTAGCCAATCAGTTACAATCCGTTACTGTTCAGCATCGTAACAATTCAATAATCTGAACAAGATTTGGTGATTCAATATGAGTCTTACGAACTTGAATCAAAACAGAAACCATACCTCAGCTTCATTAACTCGTTTCCAACAATCAGGCTCCTCACCATCCCAAGCTCCATCATCCTCCTTCCTCGCTCTCCCTCCTCTCTCCTTCACATCGCTGCCTCTCCCTTTCCCCATACCGCCACGTGTCTCCCGCTCCCTCTCCAAATCATCGTCCCCGCTCGAAATGCTCAGCAATTCCACCTCCGATTCATCGTCGTCATCCATCGAAGGCTTCCTAGCGGAAGCGGCGGGCTTCTTCGGAGGAGCGGGCTTCTGCTGACGTGGCTGCTGCACTAGATTCGCGACGGGCTTGCGGGAAGAGGAGGAAGGAGGTTTCTGGTAGGTGAGATCTCTCTGGGATTGCTCCTTCAACGCCATTTGGAGAAGCTCGTCTTCGTCGTCGCTCGACATGATTCGATGCTGATTATCTGATGATGATCGGTTGAGCTAATCGTTTGAGATCTGGTGAGGAGGTTTCGATTGTGATTTTGTGTGTGACTTTTTCTTTTGCTCCCTTCTCTTTTTTGTTTTAGGAGTTTGTTTTTTTTTTTTTGGACGAAAGTTTTAGGAAAATTATTTGCAAAAACTAGGAAGTAAAGTTTCAAGTATCTGGTGTGAACTTGATGGGTCAGAAATAAATCAAATTATTTTACTTTGTTTTTTGAATTTGAATAAACCATTTTTTATTTTATTGTAAATTTATTAAGTTTTGCTTAGGTGACTTTTAAACACTAAAAACTTTAATTGTCTAAGATGCATCATTAAAAATAGAATTCCAGTCATTTATTTAATTACAACTAAAAAGTAATATTATAATGTTAAAATCATATTTTTAAACACCAGTTAAAATTATATAGATGTGTAAAACATCATATATTGCGAACTAACAATTTTCCTTATAAAAATATATATTATTTATATTAGAAATTTAACAAGTAAGTTTTCATTTAATTCAATAATTCATATTATCTATAAAACTTATATATAATTGTTCAGGGCATAAGGCTAGCCAAGTTTTTGCTGACTGTTCATTGATTTAACCATGGAAAATTTCATGTCTGGATTTGATGAAAAGAAACGAAGACTATGTTTACGAGATTTGCAAAACCATGTTGTGAGTAAACTCTCTTTTTATTAACGAGTAAAAACAGAGAAGCAATTTATCAAACAGCCTTCTCCAATTACATTAGATAATCATTTCTCTTATGAAAAGAAAACGTAGGCAATAAATCCAGCGATTCAATGGTTAGAAGATATAGCAACCGTCGCATCTACGGAAGGAGGAGCATGTTCATCATGTTCACCGTCACAGTAACCTTGGAGCATGTCACCTTCTTGAGCAGTGAAACCGAGAACACCAATCATAGTAGGCCAACACTTGCGTCCCACGGTTCTTATAGCACTGCAACACCCAGGGCCAATGTAAGTCTCACCGTTGAGGAAGAACAAAATCAGCTCTCCAGAGCAGTGTTGGAGCTGCATCAATGAATCCCAGCAGTAACCTGTTTCTTCATCAAGCCTAAGACGGTAGACAAGGCTTGTGGAAGGAGAAGGTGCACCCACGGTTTGTTTCATGAGAGATCGAGCTGTCACTGTGGAACAAGCTACCATGAGCATGAGCATCACAGTGAATCTAACCACAAAACCTGGTTTGGTAGCAGCCATTGATAAGTTCGAGAGGAGAAAGGTTAGGGAGTGAGTATACTAAGATAAGTTTGTGTTTGTGATGAGAAGTGAGTGCTAAGCTTAGAGTTTATATAGAGACACTTGGATCTTGACTGTTACAAGTAAATGTTAGAGTGAAAGGTCTAAAGTAATTACGATGGAAAGTCATTAGTCACCTCTTTGTAAGATAATTAGTGCTTAGTGGCGTAGTGGGTATAATTATTGTACTTCTTCAGTCTGCGTTACAAATGTGACGAACATTTACCACCGTTTAACAAGCTGACTAGGTGCTTAATGGGTTGGTTTAGGGTCTAATGGGCCAGATCAGGACTAATCAATCTCGTTTAGTATAAATTAGAATCCCCTATATACTAAAGCACAAGTCACTTGTCCACTAAAATTCTGACACATGGACTATTGTTTGGAAAAAAAAAATTAGAAAAAAACCCATCACGTAATTTCCAAAATTTGCAACTTGAAATATCCAAACTCCTATTTTTTCTCACATGATTTCATTCCACGTTCAAAATTAGTTTTCACCATTTCAAACAATTTTTTTCCCACATAGCTTTTGACCTACGAATCTGTTTCACATCGTATATCAGACTCTCAAAACATGATCTGACTTCAATGTGTTTCATCTTCTAATATATAATTTTCCATAACTGTTTTTTTCTCTCTCTTCTTCTCCATCGTTTCTCATTCAAATTTTTCCCCAGCATTTCACTATATAAACAAAATCAGTATAGGTTTGTGAGTACTCTGTTTATATTCCTTTTTATATTCTGTTCAAACTAATATCATTCGATTCTTCTAATATGATTCAGATAGAAGATGTAAATTGAGTATACTGTTGTTTCAGAGCTTAATTCTTCAAAGATACAGGGAAACCAGACCGATGTTTGCACATGAGATAAAAATAAATATATTTTTTTGTTAGAAAATAGGTACATTCGACTATCAATATAAAGAATTGGATATTTACAAATCAGTTTTTTTATGACTTAGCTTTAGAAAGGTACATACTGCATTCAAAAATATCTAATTTATTCGAAGTTTTGCATGTTTTGGTGATGCTTTTATTTTGAAAAAGGAGTGAACACGTGATTTGTGGACCATTGATACAAGTATTGGAAGAGCCAAACAAAAACAATAAGATAAAGCTAAAAACCTAGGAATTAACCATATGGAAAACAAGAAGATATTAGAGATTCAAGTATGTTTCCCATTTTTTGTAGGCACTAATAGCAAAAAGAAATGTCCTCCCATATATAAAGTAATTGATTATGCAAACTATACAGTTTCATCTTTGCTTTCTTTTTTCATAACCTCAAATTCGTAAAGTATCGTTAATTTGTATTCTCTACAAGCATTGATCTTCACTATATATTATGTTTCTTTTTAGTTTACAATTTGTTCAATGTTATTATGAGGCTTCGTTCTGCCAAGTCCTTTCAACTACCAATGCTAACTTTCTATATATTGTTCATCATATTTCTATGCAACAGATGAAATGAACTAGGATACAATACAACATATGAGGCCTAGATCATGAACCAAAAATGTTTGTTTTAACCCTTGGCGTCAGAAAGATGTGACAAAACAAAGTCAGAGGTACTCATTTCAAAGCTGATGCACAATAGTGTCAGACAATCAACAAACGTTGTGCATATATACAAGTGAGTGAATTCTTCTAACACAGCACTAGACTAGAGAATCCAAATCATTTTACTGGATCACATAATAACAACAGTATATCAGGTAGGAAATTTTGTTTGAGGATTGGATATTCGACCAATTTATTATACATATTATAGGTTTATATGATATGCATATTAATTTTTATGCCCGTACGTAGTACGGGAGCAGAACACTAGTTTATTACATAACTTTACAAGAGACAATTCGATTTAACTTCTGAAAATTATATTTACACCATGTTAAAATTTTACTGCACTACGATATTTTATTACTCTATGATTAGTAAAGTTTATGCATAAAATTATATTTACACCATGTTAATACTCTTTTGTATTTTTTATTCATTATTCTACATAATTGATATAAAAGTTTCCATTTTCTAAGATTCAAATCTCAAATCTTTTGCTATAGAAGCATTAACCATATTTTAAGAACTCATTTCATTCAATTCAATTGGAGCAGATATCCTAATAACATACCATCCAAGTAATTATGTTATGGTTTGTTTACATGGTTAAGGTTTAAATAATGAAGTGAGTGAAATTTAAATAATGAAGTAAGTATGCATACATAACATGTATGTCTAATGGTAAATTATGCCTCACAAGAAATCAAAATCCAAAAGGGTCTTTTAGTTATTTGAAAACACAAGAGAAATAACCACACGATCGGCTCAGAGGGGAAGCCATCCAAACCAAAGATTAAGTATTCAAATCAAGGAGATCTAAGATAATATTATTGACTGGGAATTATTAATCCGTAAACAAAATCAAATATTTTCTAAGATCAATACAAGTAATGCTTATTCAATTTGTTTAGTTGTTTCTCATTATCCGTCTAACATATTTATCAATAAAAAAATTATAAACAACAATAATGTTCTCTACACTTACTATTATTGTATCAAATAAATATAAATTATGCTTATATATTAACGCTAATAAAATAATATAAAATAAAAATAAAAATAATAAAAATATAAGTAAAAATTATATAAAACTTAAGTAAAATCTTATGTTTTTTATGTGAAATTTTGTATTAGCAATAGATTTTAGTAAATTATGATTGATTTTTTAATAACCTCTCCACCATAAAATTGCAACGGTTAAAAGCACAAGAAACACCGTTGAAGCAACTACAGTACCAATTATAATGCCAATAGGCCCACCACCACTGAAATCTATATCAATATCATGGGAGATAAAGTCAAGAAACAACAACAAAAACAAAAAGGTTAGCTTTGGGTTTAGTAAAACTTACTTGGATCTACCGATACAACTGATATGAGAGCGCCGTATGAACCTCCTACGGGAATAGCTCGAGTTCCTTTACCAGCCCAAAACAATCTTATCTCCAACCTCCCATTTGTAACCATGGCCACCTTTTGCCTCACTCACAATATCAAAATCCTTTACCTAAAGTTTACCATGCACATTACCACACCCCTCAATATCTATAAGCATAACGAACTTTTCAAATGTTATAGTTTTGTCTACATAATAGTTCTCTTAAGTTAAAAAAAAAAACATTACCTGAAGATATGTCAAATAATCGTCTCCCCAAACTGCTATTGGTTTCCATTGTCACCGAACATGATTTCAGCAAAAATGAAGATTAACCGTATAGCTTCCATCTCCAAGAAAAAAATGCATTGTAAGTGAGGGAAATGGCCGAGAGACATGAAATAAGCACTAGGGTCTTGTATCTTAAGCTCTGGTGAATTTTTCAATATGGTTGGTACTTTGAGATGCCGTTCATCATTCAAGAAGCTCCCGGTGTTGCTAGAAACCCAACCGGTTCCACTTTGAAAGTAGATGTTATCCGAATTATCGGCTTCATACTTAGTCCTATTGATTGTTAGTTCATCACCACCACAGTTTATATGAAGGCTATACAAAGCTGAAAAGATAAACAAAAGACAAGTATGATTATGTTTAGCAATATGGTTTATGTAATTATATAGATTTAAATACTTACTTTTATGACACATGTTGGTACTCAGACAATAAACGAGCTGTATCAAAATATAACAAACTTTGAGTTAGAATCAAAGCTTTTATAAGCTATGAGAAGAAGAAAAAAACTTTACTAGTTATTTGCCACTAAAGGGCCTGTGCTTCAAAACAAATTCCTATCATAAAAGGAGCTAAGAAATGTAAGATATATAGTGAATTTGAAGGAACAAGAAGCTTGAGTTTCTTTTTTACTATTTCTTCATACGTGTCTCTCTTGTGACATTGTTTAGTTGTTGGATATTTGGAAAAGTTATTGTAAGTAAGATCACTGCAATATAAATAACCAATCAGGAATATATTGTAAACATTATATCATTTAAGAAAAAACTCACATCATGTCTGTATTGTCTACCATCCATTTTGGTACTTCCCCACTTAACATGTTACTTGTAAAATATCTGCAAGATCAGACAACAAAACTTAAGCTTCCATACAAACCATGAAGAAATAAAGGGGAAAGAAGAGCATCATACAATATGTAATCTACATTCAAAATATTCTTATATGTTGTTGGGATTGGTCCACTTAGTTTGTTAAAGATAAGATCTCTCCACAACAAGTCTCACAGTGTCAGCTTGATTTCTTCTTTTCATATTTTATTTGATTGTAGAATAAGAAAAGTGTTTACTAACAAGAGTTTTAACATTGTGATTGATCCAAAAAAAATTATTAGTATATATAAATTACAGAGGTTGCTAGATAAATATTATTTATTGAGAATTATTAACTATTGAACAAAATTCAATACGCTATGATACCAGTGTAATTAATGTTTTAATTTGTTTAGTTGTTTTTCATTATTCGCATAACAAATTATTAATAAAATTATATAAACAACACTAATATTGTTACAAATATTATTATTGTTATCAAATAAATATAAATTATGTTTAGATATAAACTTTAAGAAAATCATATAACATATAAAAAATAAGTAAAATATTAGTAAAAATTATATAAAACTTAAGTAAAAATTATATAAAATTTAAGTAAAAATTATAGAAAACTTAAGTAAAAATTATATAAAACTTAAGTAAAAATATATAAAATTTAAGTAAAAATTATAAAAAATTTAAGTAAAATTATATAAAATTTAAGTAAAATATGATTGTTTAAATGTAAGATTTTGAATTAACAATTGATTTTAGTAATTTAAAATTGATTATGGTCAAAATTTCTGTGGCAATATTAAGAAATATTGCTATACAATTAACTTTTATAAGATTATCTTTAATTATTATTAATGTAGTTGAATTAGTGAAAAAATAATGTGATCTTTTATATTATATTATATATGTGATCATTAAGAAAAAATGTAAAAATATGTTAGTTTCTTTAGGGCATTTAAATGTGTTAGACCACACTCTATACATAACATGCATGTCTAATGGTAAATCTTGCCACACAAGAAATCAAAAGCTAAAGGGTCTTTTAATTATTTGAAAACACACGAGCAACAACATAAGTTTGAAAAGCATAGTAGACTTAGAAATCAGAAAACGAATCATAAGCAAAGAAGGGATATTGGAGACAAATCATAGACGTTCTTGATCATGATTCATAAACCTAAGTGTCCATCCCCCTTTTCAGAAACAGAAGAGACACCTGAGTCCACCATGAGAATGTCCTTGTCATCTCTTTGAGTTGTTACCTTTGTTTCTATGAGTTCATCTGCTTCAATAATGTATACATATGATTAGAAATACTATAACTTAACTATCTAGCAATTGTGTAACTAGCATAAATAAAGTGCAAGGCTAGTGAAAATTAAAGTTAAGTGTCCTAATCACCTGTTATTGCCAATTCCTCAAATTCATCGTTTATCTGATCATGAATGTATGTGAAAGGGCTAGTTTCTTCTGCAAATCAGGGATGAAAAAAAAGAGATGTGATCATAATAATTTCACAACAAAAGAATAACTTAACGATTACGCCATATGCTTGATGAAAATTTAGTTGCTCACCAGGCGCCAAGGAACATGCTTCAGCAAGAACATGGGAACTGAAGGAAGATTTTCTTTCCGTATCCATGGTTGTGTTTTCCCCTAAATCCAGAGCTGGTACGTGACTTCCACGAACCATACTGTCATCTTTAAAAATAACTTTGACAGAAGAATCATGAGGTCTTAAGCCAGACTTGTCGTTACCAGTCCTGTCTTCTGTAGACTCTCCCAGAAGTAAAGAAGTCTCAAGCCTAGTGAAGAAGGCAGACTCATCCTTGAACCCCACTTCCTCTCTGTCTTGCTTGCAAGCAGTGTGTGGCTCAGAAGCAGTGACAACATCTGACATATCATGACACTTAGCATTTTTATTGGCACCAATGATATTGTTACAATCAACTTGCAACTCTTCACTTTTAGCAGCTTCTTCCAGTTCAGACTCTTTAGGAGTGTGCTTTTTTATTTCACCCTCTCCAAGAAACTCATTTCTCTCCTCAAGACCAGTGAGAACAGATTCCTCTTCAAGAAGATCCATTACTTTGCTTCCTCCACTATTCTCTGGTACAAAACTTCCCAAGAGTGCATGTCTATTTGGGCTAGTGATAGTTCCAGATTCACAGTGAAGCAGCTCAACGGTCATATTATTATTTTCTTCTCCATCAGTGCCGGCACGAACATAGAGATGGCTAACAGGCTCGCTTCTCTGTTCTCCATCAGTCACTTCATCTACCACAGAATCACCAAGCAATAGAACTTGTTCAGGAGTTGTGAAAACAACATCATGAGACTCTTCTTGTTCTTCAGCACTGAGACGACCAACCTTATGGATCTCTGCTTGTTCTTCACCACTGCTACTCCCATGAGTGTTGTATTTAGGCATGCCTAGATCGGACTCAGTGTTGCTAACACAATGATCAACACTCATACAACCGACCTTACTGATCTCCATTTCTTCTTCTTCTGAAGTGATAGTCTCAGTGTTGACAAGAGTTTCATCTATCTTCTCACGGACCAGGGATTCGTCATCAGCAGAGGCTCCATCTTGTTGAGATTCAATAGCTGAACATGTACTCAGTATATCACTCATTGTTTTAAACTTTGCCGGAGTTGTCTGATCATCATGGAACAGAGAAGCGAGCCTGTTAGCCATCTCTACGTTCTTCAGATTCGCAGGGATGCCATGCTTCTTGCAGAGGACTTGTAGCTTCTTCCTCTTCATTCCATGAAAATCCATCTTCAAAAGTTTCTTTTAAAATATAATTTCGGTAATGTGAGTGTCATCTCGCTCATTTTGCTGTCATTTTTATACTAAGATGGGGAGACGAAAAGACTCGCCGTGGTGGATTTAATATTTTGATTCTTTTACAGAGTTTTTAAATAACTATCTTTAGTGATAGTTGTCAATAGTACATCATTTCCCATTACTATAAACCAATACTCATTCATTTCAAATATTCACAATTTTTTCTTTTGAAATTTACAATGTATCAACTGGAGTTAATTAAACTGCATCGAAAACGCAAACCAAAATCAACACTTTTTTTTGTCAAAAACAGAAACCAACAATTATTTCCAAAAATTTATAAAACATGATTAAGGGTTTAAATTGGATACGTTCAAAGTTGAGAGAAATTTATCATTAAATTTTCGAAGAACTTCTTTTCTTTTTTTTTACATTATTCAATAGATTCAAATAATATTTTTGAAATTTATAAAATTTAAATAGTAATTAATTTTCACATGCCTCAAATAAGTCTTTATTACTAAAAAAACTATATTACAAAACTATAAGAAATATTTAAATTCTTTTTCAGAAATTTAAAAATATTTACTTTTAGTATAAACCAATAGTCATTCAATCATTTCAAATATTCACAATAAGTCTTTTTTTGAAATTTGCAAAGTATCATTAATTAATCAAACTACTTTGAAAACCAAAACCAAATTCAATATATATTTCCAATGTGCTATATAACAATGATTAAGAGTTTAAATTGGATACGGTCAAAGTTGAGTGAATTTTCTCATTAAATTTGCCAAGAAAAGCCTCTTCTTCTTTAGCTTATTCAATAAATTCAAATATCTACAAATAATCTTTTGTGAAATTCTAAAATTTTAACGGTTTTTTTAATTAGCACATAAAACCTTTTAAAATAGTCTTCATTACAAAACACTCAATGCCTATTATTTTAAAATCGTTCCAACATTACTATAAGGTTTTAATAAAAGGCATAGTTAAACAGATAAACCTCTAGACGAAGAAGAAGGTTTGACGAGTAATTTTCCGCGGGAACAGAAACAAACAATCGTAAGCCGTTTCTTTCTTATCTTCTTCAACAACAACACCGACAAAGCTGAAACCTTTCGAAAAAATGATGATGCGATTATCACCCGGAATCCGTTTTCAATCACACCCCTTCTTCAACCCCCATAAACCCACTTCTCTCCACGTCCAAATCGAACCACTCAAGAGAAGGAACTTCTCCAAAATCAGCGACGACGACGCTTTCGATGCTGCAGCTTACGAGTCCGAGCGTCTGAGTCTCGACGCGGTCGCGATGGAAAACATGGCTGAGACAGCAAAGAAGGAGATTGAATCCGACCCGAAAGCGTGGAAATGGATAATCCGAAAGAAGATGTGGGATCTAATGGAAGCTCGGAACTACGCTATGAGCCCAAGACCCGTTCATCATCGTATCCCTAACTTCGTCGGCGCGGCGGATGCAGCCGCGAAAGTAAGCGACTTTGAGTTTATCCCTCTTTTTTTCAGTTTCTGGGTTTTGTTTGGAGGATGTTAAAGTTGTAAACTTTACGTTCTTTGTTACAGTTAGCTGAGCTTGACGCCTTTCGTATGGCTGGTGTCGTTAAGGTTAATCCTGATTCGCCCCAGAAGCAAATCAGGTTTCTTACACTCTCTGGTTAGTCTTAATCTCATTGTTCAATCATTTTGTATTGTCTAGAAAGTTAACTCCTTTTAGAGGTTGTGTTATGTATCCAAGTGTTTCACTCATTGTCGGAGATTGGTGAAAGTTGACTCCTTTTAGACACTGTGTTCTGTATCTAAGTGTTTCATTGTTGGGGATTTATGAAAGTTAACTCTTTTTAGACATATTGTGTTCTGAGTGTTTTATTGTCGGAAATTTGTGAAAGTTGACTTCTTTTAGACACTGTGTTCTGTATCCAAGTGTTTCATTAATTGTCGGGGATTTGTGAAAGTTGACTCCTTTTAGACACTGTGTTATGTATCTAAATGTTTCATTTATCAGAGGTTTATGAAACTTAACTCCTTTTAGACATTTGTGTTCTGTATCTAAAGTGTTTCACTGTCAGGATATTTATGAAACTTAACTTCTACTATTAGATATTGTGTTATGTATCTAAGTGTTTCATTGTGGGAGGTTTATGAAAGTTAACTCGTTTTACACACTGTGTGAACTTGTAGGTGAGAAGAAGTTGTTGACTCCTCAACCTAGGCTAAGAACAGGGTTCTTCTCTGTACTAGAATCTGATTTTTTAAAGCCAGAGACGATCAGAGAAGCTTGCACTTCTGTAGGAGTAGCCAAGTATGGAAGAGCGATTGGTTTAGATGAGAAGATCAAAGTGGATCTCATTGTCCTTGGCTCTGTTGCTGTTAACCCTCAAACAGGTGCTCGGTTAGGGAAGGGAGAGGTGACTCTTACTGTCTTACAACTCTCAAATTCTAGAATGTTCAGTATAACTTAACATGATAGGATATGTGTTCAGGGTTTTGCGGAGCTTGAGTATGGAATGTTGCGTTACATGGGAGCTATAGATGATTCCACACCCGTTGTTACAACCGGTATATATGAAGTTGAGAACATCTTTGTAAAACATTCTCTTGTGTTTTTGTTTTAACCTTCTTTTTTTGCAGTGCATGAATGTCAGCTTGTGGATGATATACCTCTAGAGAAACTAGCGATTCATGACGTTCCTGTGGATATCATATGCACTCCTACTCGAGTCATTTTCACAAATACTCCTATCCCTAAACCACAAGGTCTGACTTATGCATTATGTCTCATTGATCCTCAGCCTGGCTTAGTTATTGTCTATTGTTCATGACTGTTGATTGGTTTATTTATGTAGGAATCTATTGGGACAAACTGTCGCCGGAGAAGCTGAGACAGATTCGGATACTGAGAGAGCTAAAGAGGCGGTTGGAAAAGGAGTCTGGCTGTAAACTTCCGACCGGACCATCTGAGAAGTTGCCTCCCACTGCTGAGCGCAAACGCAGATAACTAACGTCTGGTTTCTACCGGTTGTTTTTGGTCACTGTTGTATTGTATATATGCATCGATTGAGCATTTATAGGCCTTTGGTAAAGCCCATAAATTCTTATTTGCCTTAAGAACAAGGGCCATCTTGAATAGAGAATGTCCCCTCCCTTCCCCTAGTCCAGAAATGTCAGCTTCTTCGGCAAGACAGTTTGATATTATACTTATCATTTTTATATCAAAACAGATATAGTACTTATTTTGTTTTTGTGTGTAAGTTTCATGGCATCTTCAATTCATAACACTCTAACAACGACCAGTTTTTTTCAGCTGTTTCATTTTAGTAGAAACGACCATAACTGAGGGCATGTGATGTGTGTTAAGAAAACAAGAAGGTACATGTGATGTGGGGTTAAAGGCTACTTAAAGCTAACGAGTAATAATGAAAAAAAACAAAGGATGAGTTAGTTTTCAAAAAATTAACAAGGATAAGTTACATTCGCTGGAGTCACTTTTATTAATTGTATAGTTGATAGACAGTTTTAGAAAGATAAAATTTACTGAAGTAAAAAGAAAGAAGAAGTCTCTTTAGTTCAGAAGAGGAAGAGAAGTGGAATAGGTCCCATTGCAGACCCCAAAAAGATGCAAATCCTACAACTGGGTACCATGCTATTACTAGGCTCTCTCCTCTTTTTCCTCTCTGCTTTATTGGTACCCTCAAAGCCTTGAGACAATTCATGAACATCAATACAAAAAAACTTATGGAGAGAAAAGAACCACCTTTTTTTAATTCCATCCGTTGACAAATTCAATAATGAGTTAGAACTCGCAAAAGGAACATATATATTCAAGTAGTAAACATTAGTATTTGTTTTACAAAAAATCATGTATATATAAATTTTTATGGTTAGTCTTTGGCTTAATTTTTTTTTTCTTCTAATGATTCAAAAATATTTTTTTTTCTATCAGAAACCTTAGAGCACCCGTAACAAGGGATCCTTAAAAGGAAATCTTTAGGAAAAAAAAGATATTTCAAATTATATAAAGATATTTCAAAATTTTTTCTTAAAAAAAAAAGAATTGACCATTCGCAGGCCGCCACGTAGGCAGTGAAACCCGCGAATAGTGTAAGGATCAATCTTTAAATAAGAATTTTAAGAATAGAATCCTTAGTTGTTCATGGTACCCATTGATTATAAAATTAATATTTTTCTAAACATTCTCTTTAAACACTTCTTCTTGCGGGTGCTCTTATAAATCTAAGCATTTTTTTCCAATTATCAAAGCCAAAAAAATCTATCATAACAAACTTGTTTTTCATGATTAGTATCTGCATTTATTAACATCAACAGTCGCTTGACTTGGCAGTAACACTGATTCTAGACGTGTTCCGAGAAAAAGAAAAATAATTTATTTTTGACTTTTACATGTTCTCCTAGCCTTCATTAGTAAAGTCCTTCACGTGCTCACAGAATCAAACTCTTTTAAGGGATTAATGTCTAATCTAACCATATGATAACCTACTTAAGTACATTGACTATACCTTAATATTTCCAGATTTCTTTCAAAAATTAGAAGGAGGAATTAAATTTCGAGAAGTTAATGTTTTTGCTATTTTCTTCAAAAACTAAAAAGTCACGAGGGCGTGTGACCCGAAGAGAGAGAGCTTAACATTAACAGAGATTTTTCCTTTTTTCTGTTAACTTTTCTTCTTTCCTGAGCTTTGTGTGTGGTGTTGTGTTTTGTCTTATTGTTTTTTCCTCTCTATGGTCTGTCACATTCTGATTAAAATAGTAATGCTTTTTCAGTAAGGATCATTGCATCAGTGCAGATTTTCCATTTCTACTATTCTCTTCTGAAAAAATCTCCCCTCTCTTTCTTACCTTATCCTCCTTCACTTTTCTTGATTCTTAATCAGTGAAAAAAAATATAAAGTTATCAACTTTGTCTTTCCTCTGGATCGTATCAGTAAGGTGGAAGAAGAAACTGTGAAAAGAATGGAGAGTAAACCCAGATGAGTACGTCTCTGATCTAATTAAAAAAAAAAACAGTGATTTCTGATTCTGACCAAATGGGCTCAGAACAGCATAGGTTTCCTCAGCACGAACAACAACAGGTCCCTCTTCATTCCTTTTACTTCTCTCTCTGTCTCTTTAAGTTCTAAGCTCTTCAAAGTATAGACCTTTTTGTTTGTTTCTAAGCTCTTGGTTATTAGATCTGACTATTCGACTCTGTTCACACTTATCTACTTGATGAAAGCAATGTTAGTTTAGGGTTTATGTTAAAAATTGCCCCTTTTGATCATTCTGTTGTTGTATAGTGAAATGTTACTTGTATAGCTTTTGCAGCAAGTGATAAAATTGAGAATTGAACAAAAAGTTTACATCTTTCCTTACAAATTGACCATTCAGATAGTAAAGTTCCAACCTTTTAGTGTTTGTGATCTTATAAAGATTACCCCTTTTCTGGAAAAAAGCTATACCCTTTTAGATCTATAAGCATTAGATAGTTTTGTAGTAACAGTTGTATCCACTATCAGATCCCTAATGGTTCTGTTCCTTAAAGAGTGTGTATGTGTGTGTGTGTTCTTGTGCAGAGGAAAAGGTGGGAAGGCTGTTTTGAAGTGTTCTCTTGTTTCAAGTCACAGAAAGGAGGAAAAAGAATTGTACCAGCTTCTCGCATTCCAGAAGGTGGCAATGCCTCAGCCTCACAACCTAATGGAGCAAGTAACCAAGCTACAAGAGGAGTTAACTTATCACTATTAGCTCCACCATCCTCTCCTGCTTCCTTCACCAACTCTGCTCTTCCTTCAACAGCTCAGTCACCAAACAACTGTTACTTATCTCTAGCTGCAAACTCACCAGGAGGTCCTTCTTCTAGTATGTACGCCACTGGACCATATGCTCATGAAACCCAATTAGTCTCACCTCCGCCTGTTTTCTCCACGTTCACCACTGAGCCATCCACTGCTCCTTTCACTCCACCTCCAGAGCTTGCACATCTCACTACTCCTTCTTCACCTGATGTCCCTTACGCTCGTTTCTTGACTTCCTCCATTGAATCCAAGAACTCTGGCAGAGGTCATTACAATGATCTTCACTCTACCTACTCTCTTTATCCTGGAAGTCCAGCCAGCTCTCTTAGATCACCGATCTCTAGGGCTTCAGGAGACGGGTTACTTTCTCCTCAAACTGGAGTCTCTACACCTTTGCAGGAGTCTAACTTCTTCTGTCCTGAAACTTTCGCCAAGTTTTACTTAGATCATGACCCTCAAAACGGTGGGAGGTTAAGTGTGTCCAAGGATTCAGATGTGTACACTGGTCAGAATAGGCAGACGAGAAGTCCCAAGCAAGATATGGAGGAGTTGGAAGCTTATAGAGCTTCCTTTGGGTTTAGTGCAGATGAAGTCATTACAACTAGTCAGTATGTTGAGATCAATGATGTGATGGATAATTCTTTGCTCATTGCTGCTTACTCTCAAAGTGATGGACAGAAGCTACTTAGAAGAGAAGCTAACTTGCTGAGTCAGACAAGTCCCAAGTCAGAAAAAGCTGGCCTTGATCCACCAAAGTCATCATCAAGTGGTTGCAAAGGTGGTGACTAATCACATTGTTGAGTCATTCCTTTTATTATTTGTTGTGTAGCATTGTATCTGATTGTTTTATATTGTGTGGCTTAGATCACAAGCTAAGAAATGGTATCCATGCGGATGAAGAGGCTTTGTTATCTAGAGTGGGGTCTGTGAAAGGAAGCAGAAGCTATCCCACTGGTTTCTCAAGCTCTGATGCAGAGATTGAATACAGGAGAGGAAGAAGCTTTAGAGAAGGCAGAGAGAACAGACACAGGAGATAGTTTGATCAAATAACAACAAAGCCAGCTAGCTCTTCTAAGTTGCAATATGATCTTGTGATGCTAACTCTTGAGATGAGAATCTATTAGTTTAGTATATAATGGATATATATATATATATATAAATACAGATGGTTTGTGGTAGAATGATGTGATATATTAGCAAGCAAGTGTGAGAAAAGGTAATGCTTTTCCTTTTAGTTTGTCACGGCTTATTTGTAAGGCTCCATGTTTCTTCTAATTGCAGCAGTCTGTTTAAGGTTTTTAGTGTCATCTTCTCCTTTTGATACATTTTCTAGAAACACAACTATAATAATTTTTTAATGAGCTATTTAGCTTTAGAAATTTCTCAACCAAAATTCTCAATATTTCTTTTAAATCTTATGATCTTCTCTTTTATATCTTATGGAACATCTTTCCAGGCGACATATATTTATAACGAATGACAATTTTCTTTTAACATCTAGGATATGAGAACACAAATCTAACTTACATAGAAAATTTCATTTTACCATTCTAGATTTCATTTTTATGCTTATCTCTTAATATAATAAACAATTATTAATATCTTAAATTTTTACAAGTTCGGAATTATCCAACAATTGATGTTGAATCACAACTTTCTGATTCTCTCTTTTGTTTACAGTTATAATATATACTAGATTTTAATCCGCGTTTTTCAAGCGCGGAAATTTTTTATGATTAAAAATTTATATAATTGGGTTTTGTCTTAATTTAAAGAATGTTTTGGTATAAAATTAGTTTACTAAAATTTGGGGTGATAGTTGTTCTTCATTAGTTTTTAGTTTCAGTTTTTATTTTTAGATCTTGTTTTAATTTTGGTTTTTGGTTTTTAGTTTTTAAGTTTCTATTTTTGATTTTCAGCTTTTGGTTTAGTTTTTTAATTTTTAGACCCGCTGAGTTAGTTTGAACTGATATTACCAACAAACAAATTTCAATTAATCGAACATGTAATTTAAAACTGAAAAGATGACAAAATAATTTTCTAAAATTTTTGAAATAGTTTATTTTGTAAATAAAAAAAGCGAAAAATATAACATGCGTTTTCAGCTTTTGGTTTTGGATTTTAGTTTTTAGATTTGGTTTTTGGTTTTGCTTTACATATTTTTTTTTAAATCTGTTAATTATTTAAGAAACTAAAACAATAAATTATTTAAAAGTTACAATTAAAATTTATCAAGATAAAGTGATTGTTATTTAAAATAAAAAATATTAACATGTTTTAAAGTACATGATTTAAATAAGTGATTAATAATAGATAATTTTTTTTATTGAAAATATTAGATATTTTTGGGCTAAAAAATATTAACATGTTTTAAATTACATGATTTAAATAAGTGATTAATAATATATAATTTTGTTTTGCTGAAAATATTAAATATTTTTGCGCCTGAAAATAGTAATTAATTTTTGATCCATTAAGGTGGAAAATTTATTTAATGTTTTTTGGAGTTTTTCTTTAATACTAAGCCCAAAAACCAAACAATTAAATGTCATAAAAACAAAAGTAAGCCCAAAACTTTAATCCATAAATAACCGCCGGTTTAATTTAAGTAATGCGGTTCAATCAACAATATAACTTGTATTATTTGTAACATTCTAGAAAATATTCAAATTTAATGACAACTTGTATCAGTAGATAAAAAGAATGACTCTATTTTAATATAATAGATGATAACGTGTTGCGTTCTGTTTTATTAGTTGTATAGTTCCCGAACCAAATCTATTCTATTAAAATAGAGTCATTCTTTTTATCTACTAACTAGGATAAAACCCGCCCCTTGCGCGGGATAAAATTATTATTTTTATTATGTTTTGGAAAATGAAACAAAAGTTCGGTTTCATCGGGTTTCAGTATTTTGGTTATTAAAATATAACTACTATTCTAAATCCATATTTACTTCAGTTTGATTTGGTTTATATATTGGTTTTCAGTTTATTCAGTTTTATACCAAAATACATCATTATTTAGTTTGAAATCATATTATATATTATAAAAATATATAATATGATCATATTTAGAGTCATATTGTCAAAAAGTCATTTAATAAAAAATATTATATATTTAACTAAAAGAATAAAGAACAAAAAAGGCTTCTATGATCTAATAAAATGATCAAATCTAGAATTAATATCAAATCTCTAAATTTTGAAAATAAAAATAAAAACAAAACAGAAGCATGAAAGAAAAGTTTTTATATTCTTCCATATTTAGTGTTCATCAAATTTATATGTCTTCGATTGAACACAACTCTGTTTGTTTAAAGATTAAAAACAAATTGTAAAGAATTTCAACTAATTGTTGTCCATCAAATTTATAATTTTTACTTCAATTTAGTTTTTGTTAAAAAAAATAAAAAAAGATAAAAAAAGACGAAGAAAATAAGAAGCCTCAGTTTCATTAAATTGTTAGTTAATTATATTTCAAGTGATTTACAAATCATAATTATAGTTCAACTCATGTAACAAATAGATTTACATATTTACATGTTTCAGTTTAATCGATTATAAATCAAACCAGATCCAAATCTTACGGTTTTTATAAAATCACATACATTCGGTTTGTATGGTATATACCAAAAATAACCATATTATCGATTGTGTTAATATCTTTAAAAAATAGAAAATTAAAAAAAAGAACTAATATATTTAAATCATTGATAACAAAAAAATTTCAGTATGAAAAATTTAATACGTTTATAATTTATAAATGTTCTTGAAAATTCATTGAAATTTTTGAAATTAAAATAAGTATGTAATCTTATATGGTATATAGTTTAATCTATATATATATATATTTGTTGTTTAATTTTATTGAATGATGCTTTTTACTCATATGGTTTTAAAATCATGTGTATCTTTTTATAATAAAAATGTTAAACTATTGATCATTAATTTTTAACATAATAATTTTAATAGTTCTAGTAATTTATTCTTGTTTTTTTTAAATTCAAAATATAACATATATGAAAAAAATCTAAAGTTTAATTTTATAGCTAATTTGATTGTTTGATTTATTTTAATAATAAAAATTAAAGAGAAATGATGGAGGAGATACAAATTGTTATCAAATATTTATTATTAGAAACATTAATTTTCATATATATATATATATATATATTTGTCATTTATGGTAATTTCGTATCTTTTATTTAAGGAAAGAAAATAAAATAATAATTATATCTAGCAGGACAATCATAAATGCTTCTATCATAAATATCATATCATATAGTTTGACCAACAAATATATCTAGCGACATATAAAAATCGAATGTGGACCTACTTATTTTTCAATTGAATGTAATTGACTACCTAATTGAGTGACACGTAAGCATGAGCTTTTTTTAATTATTACAAAACTGAGGTTACAATTTTTTCAAATGTTTCTCAATTAATATATAGGGGATACAAGTTGTCATTTAAATTTAGACCCTTTCTAGAGTGTTATAAATAATACAAGTCATATAACTAATTGAACCGTATTATTTAAATTAAACCGGTGGTTATTTATGAGATATAGTCTTGGGCTTACTTTTATTTTTAGAATAAATTAAATGATTTGGTTTTTGGGCTTAATATTAAGGAAAAACTCCAAAAAAACATTGTATAAACTTTCCACCTTAATGGATCAAAAATCAATTATTTTTTCAGGCCCAAAAGGTATTTAAAATTTTTAACAAAACAAAATTGTCTATTATTAATCATTTATTTAAATCATGTACTTAAAAACATGATAATGTATTTTTTATTTTAAATAACAATCCATTTTTTGATAAATTTCAATGGTAACTTTTAAATAATATAATTTTTTATTTTTCTTAAATAATTTACTGATTTAAAAAAATATGTAAAGCAAAACTAAAAACTAAATCTAAAAACTAAAATCCAAAACTAAAAGTTGAAAACGCAGGTTATATTTTTTGCTTTTGTTTATTTACAAAATAAAATATTGCAATTTTTTTTTTAAAAAAGCTTTTGTCATCTTTTCAGTTTTAAATTAGATGTTCGATTATTTGAGATTTGTTTGTTGGTAAACTAACTCAACGGATTTAAAAATTAAAAATCCAAACCAAAAGCTGAAAATCAAAAATAGAAACTTAAAAACTAAAACCCAAAAAATCAAAATCTAAAAACAAAACTTAAAAATAAAAATTGAAACTAAAAACTAATAAAAAAAAATCATCACCACAAATTTTGGTGAACTGATTTTATACCAAAACATTCTTTAAATTAAAGACAAAAACCCAATTATATAAGTTTTTAATCATAAAAAATTTCCGCTCTTTTAAGCGCGGATCAAAATCTAGTTAAGTTTAAAAGATTGTAAATAATAGATACAAGTCTGTCTCGGAAAGTCAGTAGCAATGTATCGTAGTTACTGTGTATTGTGTTTTTTAAGGATGACGGTTTCAAGTACGATCAAATAGAAATAAAATAATTCACTATGTATAGTAACAACCACAAGTTAATATTATTGAAAAGCAAAGGAAATGTTACTCACATCACAGAAAATAACAATCTGTAAATGGTTCCAAATGTAGCAAATCATATAGGATTCGAAAATATAAAGGAGTTTAGAGCACAGTGTCTAAGACACATGACAATGGTTTTGTAATTGCCAAAAAGATTTACTCCTTTCTACTAACATCATTGCTTCCTTTTTTCCTTAAGACAAAGCGGTTTCTAAAAATGTAGTTTGTGATCTCTATAATATTATTGAGAAGTCAGTTTCCTACGTGTCGCGCTCACGTTAACTCTCGCGATGGTTGATTACATAGATACCCTTAATGAATTATTAAATTTTAATTATTTTTTTTTACCTTTTTTCAAATAACATATATAATAAAAAGGAAATATTTCTAAAATTTTAAAACAAAATTTAAAACAAAAATATATGTATATAATAGGACTTTATCAAAAAGGAAAGTTCACAAAATAGTAATACCCCCATTAATATATATTTTAAATAACATAGATATATTTTTAAAATAAAAATATGTAGATGTTCATGAACATCTAAAAATTTATCAGTTACACTTTATTTTCTAATATTTTTAGAAATCAACATATAATTTGATAAATATTATGAAAATACATGTATATTTAAGCGATAAATAAAACTAATTTGATATGACTTGACTAAGATAAAAATTAATTATACTTCAATTTTAATTTAAAAATATATTTAACTCAATATACTCACAAAATGAAGGACTCGACTGATCTAATTTATCTCCAAAATTAAACATCTAATAATTTTATAATAATAATATATTTAATATTATACATATAAATTAGAGGTTGATTCAAAGCGTATTAAAAAAAGAA